TGACCCTTGACCCCCCAATGACGACACACGACCCCCAAATCCAGTCCGAGCCCCGCCCAAGGGGCTCTTTTATTGGTCCGTGCAGGCTCCGCCCCCAAGGCACATGGGCAAGGCCACACCCACCCCAGGGGGCGGTCCCCGAGGCTTGCTCAGTGGCCAATGGGAGCAGAGGGTGTGAGGTCAGCAGCCAACCAGGGCGTCAGCCAATGGGATGCGTCGATCCAGCAGAGGGGGTGGCGCCAATTGGTCAACAGAAGGGATCAGCCAATGGGACAAGCTCATTGGTCAGCGGGAGGAGGTGGGGCAGGGCCACTGGTCAGCGGCCATTGGCCAACGGAGAGGCCGCCCAAGGGGCGTGGCAACCACCCAGCTCACAGTGGGTCATCAGCCAACCAGGACAGGCCGGCCAATGACAGAAGGGGGCGGGGCCATGGGCCAATGGGAGGTGCTCATTGGTCAAGAGAGGCCACCAATGGGAAGCCGGTGACCTCGGCTGGAGGTCAAGGGCATCAGCCAAGAGGTGACGAGGTCCAATCACGGGAGACGTCGGCCAATCAGGGGCGGCCAACCACGGCCACCGGGTCAAGATGGCCGGCAAGAGGTCACGGTGGGTGGTCATGAGGTCACAATGATGTCATCGCTGGAGGCAGGGGGCGGAGCTTCTGGGCAACCGAGATGGTGGCCACCAACCGGTGATGGTTAGCCGAAGACGGTGGCCACCAACCGGTGATGGTCAACCAAAGACGATGGCCACCAACCGGTGATGGTCAACCAACGATGACGGCCACCAACCCGTGATAGTCAACCAAAGACGATGGCCACCAACCCGTGATGGTCAACCAAAGACGATGGCCACCAACTCGTGATGGGCAACCGAAGACGATGGCCACCAACTCATGACAGTCAACTAGAGACAATGGCCACCACCACAACGGTCAACCAAAGGCGATGGCCACCAACTCACGATGGTCAACCAACGATGACGGCCACCAACTCATGCCGGTCAACCAAAGCTGATGGCCACCAACTCATGCCGGTCAACCAAAGCTGATGGCCACCACCCAACCGCGGTCGCTCGCCGGCGCCCGCCCCTCACATCTTCTTGACCCGTTCCTCCAGGGCGCTCAACTCTCCCATCACCTCCTTGGGCAGGTCTTCGCCGAAATTCTCTTCGTAGTAACGCCGCAACTCTCGCGCCTCCTTCTCCCAAAACGGGCGGGAGACGGGGAAGAGGTCGGCGTAGGAAACGCCGGGAAGACCGTCGAGATCCAAAGCGTCTTCTCGTGGCACCAACCCCACCGGCGTCGTTTTGGCGTTGTCTTCTCCCGCCACCCGGCTACAGATCCAAGCCAAGACGCGGGCGTTGTGGCCGAAACCCGGCCAAACGAACCGACCGGCGCCGTCCCGGAGGAACCAATTGACGTGGAAGATGCGGGGGAGGCGGGCTCCTTCCCGTTCGCCGACGGCCAACCAGTGAGCGAGATACTGCCCGGCGTTGTAACCGAAGAAAGGTCTCATGGCGAAGGGGTCGTGCATCAGGCGGCGGCCTGG